CCAGTGCTCCGCTCAGCACCGCTCTTGACCACATGGGTCACGCTACGTTAGCAGTTGACCTGTTGATTTCACCCGCAATGGACCTTCTCAATGACATGTATTTTGAGAACTTGTTGCGCTTATGTGCTTCGGGCCTTGTTGCCTACTGTGGAGCTAGTCCTCCATGCAGTGAATTTTCACGAACGCACGAGTTTCCCTTAGGCATTCCCAATCCCACACCCACCGAGCAAGACCGGATCCAACGCAGCCGCGAACTCTTGCATCGTGCGGTGTGTTGCTTACAGCACACCTTCGCCGCGGGGGGCCACGGCCACCTCGAATCTCCACCCAACGCATTTACTTGGTATGATCCGGTCGTCAAATCCTGGGTAAATCAGCAGGCATGTCATTGTGTAGTTCTAGCTGCATGTCAGTTTTCTTTGAACATATCAAAGCACTGGATGTTTGCCTGCAGTCACGATTGGTTCGTGGAACATGCCAGTCAGTGCCCTCATTCGAACCATGCTCCGTATGCAGGTATTCGAGATGAGTCGGGCACATACCTCAGCCGAAAAACTGCTGAATATCCCAAAGATTTGGCTACTGTGTTGTCCCACAAGTTGAGTGCCCACATCGGCCCCGTGCACATCCCAGAGTTGACTCTAGAGCATGCCCTCAGTTTGATTCCTGTCACGCGTTGCATGATGGTGGTGGACGAGGTAGCCAACCAGACTGGAGTTTTCCTCCGAATGTTCCGGATGTTCTCAAACCCCTTCGTGACCGCTGGATCGCTTTGATTTTGGAACAGAATTTGCACAAAGAGTTTGTTGCTCACATGGAGCAGCAAAACCCAGATCCCCCGTTTTCGGAGGAATGCATTGATAAGTTTCGGGAAGCGTTTTCTTCCTGGATTCCAACTGATTGGTCAGTACGACCTCACCAACCTATGTGCCTGAATGCCCTCCACCACCTGAGCCAGCACATTCATGACCCGGATTCTCAGGTCTTTCCCTGCTTAATTGCAGGAGTATCAGCCGGCACCTCGGATGACCCGATACGTGCAAGTCAGGTCTTGTGGGAACAAGATCTTAACTCTGATACCGACCCTCCTTCTTTGCAAATCCATAGAGGTAATTGGAAATCCAGTGAAGACCACCCTGAACTCACGTGGGAACTCATCCAAAATGAGATCGATCAAGGATGGGTTTTTGAGTTTGATGGAGATGAAACTGATGCCCAACAAGCATACCCCCAAGGAGTTGGATTGGGTAAATTGGGAATTGCATTCTCTGATTCGCGGCCTCCCAGATTGGTACTCGACAGTAGTGTCTGCAACACAAATCAGAATTGCACTATCCCAGAACGCCAGTGCTATCCGTCAGCTCGAGACGTCGTTGAGAGTTTGCCTCTTCGACAGTGTTCGGAGCCTCAGCATGCTGCCACGTTCGACATTAAATCAGCTCACAAGAAAATTGTCCTATCCGAACGCCATCAAGGATTAGTCGGATTCACCTTTCAAGGTCGACTTTTCTTCTATAGGGTTTGTCCCTTTGGAGCTACCTTTAGTGCCTTTTGGTGGGGTCGACTCGGAGCATGGCTTGTTCGAGTATGGCATCGCCTGATTTGGGCCCAACACGGCTTATGGCTGTTTGTTGACGATTTCTTGCTCACTCAACCGAAGTCCATCCTTCCGTTGTTTGCCACTCTTCTTGCCCTCTTCTGTCGAGTGTTTCGTATTCCTCTCAGTTGGAAAAAGTGCACCCTTGGGCCCATGGTGGATTGGATCGGATGGCGATTCAACTTCTTCAATGGTCTTGTCAGCCTTCATCCTGACAAACAAAACAAACTCATTGCCCAAATAGAGGAACTTCTCAACCATCGTCATTGCTCTAGCAAACAGCTGGAGCGCTTTACCGGCCTCGCATTGTGGATCACTCAGTTGTTCCTTCCCTTTCGGGCTTTGCTGCGTTGGCTATTCTCTGACCTGCGCACTTGTCCTGCCACTCACTATAGTGTCGGCCCAGGATACTGGACATTAGTGAAGTCGTGTCTCTCGGATGACCTCACCTTCATCAGTAGTCCTTCCGGAACAGCAATTCCCAAGCATTCTAAACTCCTCTCCGTTCGACACACTCCCGCCCAAACCTTGCAGGAAGTTGAGGCCGTTAGATTGACTGATAGACGATTGTGGCTTCGGATTGTAAATCCTAGTTCTCAACAAAGAAAACTGTCTGTTCACAGTCGACGTGTACTGAAGTTGTGGCTTCAATGGTTGACCGTCTCAACGCCTCTTCGAACCATGCGCCCATCCTTTCAGGCACCTATTCAGGCAGCAGCCGACGCCTCTGCCCCAGGGGACCTGTTTCAAGTCGGCGGTTTCGTTGCGTCCAAGCAACAAATCTTTTGGTTCGCTGAGCAGTGGCGTGTCCACGAAATTAAGAAGTTCGACGTCCCCGTTAGATCAGAAGCTCAGCGTGATATTGCATGTTATGAAACCCTCGCTCAAGCTTTCCTCGTACTTTTGTGTGTAGCATTGTGTCCTCACGCATGCGTTCCCCTGCACTTCAAAAGTCTCAGTGACAATGCTGCTACAGAGGCTGGTAGTAACAAGCTGTTTACCACCTCAGCCCCGTTGTGCTACTTTGTCGAACATTTGGCACATATTCTAGTCTCGGCGCGAGTCAGCTGTGATATTTCGCATATCCCTGGAATTTTGAACACCAATGCTGACCTCCTCAACTGTTGGAACTTTCATGATTCCTTGCCCGTCAAGTTCGCAGCAGACACGAGGCATCGAATGAGCCTCGAGCAGTTCTTCTCGTTTCACCAGCCCAGATTCATCCGGAAACATTTCCGGTCCAATGGTCGCTTGGTAACCATTGAACTCTGCACTTTTCATTCCACTGCCACTCAGAGCGCCTAGGGAGACCTGTACCGAGTGTTGTTGGAATGCTGTTTGGTGATAATTGTCCCAACAACCTCTGAAGCAACAATAGCAGTGAGAGAAAAGTGTGTTGGGCATCTAGTCTGCTTGGGAGCATGACCTTTTCCTGAACATTGTAACATCTCTAGAACGTACAATGTGATTTTCACATGTTGTTTTGTGATGTTTCATGTTCTGCGTGCCATTTTGGTTCTAGAGTACAATGTTCAGCCCCACCCTCCACACCCTAGATTGTGCTCTCAGCCTTGTTCACCGCCAGCGGCGACCTAGGCTTGAAGGCT